ATACATTAACACTTTTCTTAATGAGCCACTTTAAGTTATTTTTAGCTCAATGCAAGAACATACCATCTTTTGATTACTCTGTAATAACTGGGCTCAGCTGTAATGCTCGAGTCTTTTATTCCTTTCAGTGACAGTCAGACCGCATTACTTATTTTAAGAGACACTTCCAGCAAAATCTGCCTGCTGCACTGTCAGATTTACCAGGTTCATAACTAAAAGTTTTTGGGGTTTTTTTGTTTTTTATTTTTGTTTTTTTGCTAGTTTTACGAACTCTTGGCTTGTAGTTAGCAAGTGCTTATATGCATGCCGGATGACTGGGGCAATCTGCTAGCAACTAAACTAATGAAAATGGGGCTTTTGGTGTAGTTCCCTTCAGCAACCACTCACCAACTGGTCACAGAACAACCGTTTTTATCTCTCCACCTAAATTTGCCAAGGGGTCTCTAACTGGTCTCTAGCGTGTATGACTGAGGTCTAAGCTTCCTATCGTTAGCTTAGTGCTCCATGCTCTCGTCCAAATATGCTAATTTCTGGCTTCAAACAACTAACCTGTAAAACTGCTAATTCTCTAACCACTTAGACCAAAACAAATGGGTGATGTCCCAGTGGCTAAGTCCATCTTTTATATACAGTGTGTGTTTAAATGTGAGTGGGCTTTTGTGTAGCACATAGTGTCAGGAAAACAGTTTGGCTGTTTTGTAGAAACAGGTGTGATTATCCACACATTATTTTGATTATTTTTTTCTGTAGGAAATGGAGCACAACTCAACCCAAATACTGCAGAGATCTCCTTGTGTGTATTGTTAATCTAGACTGCGGTGCTCCTCCATCTGAGCTGGGTACAGTCCCTCGTGTGGACAGCTTTGCTGTAAATAGGCTAATTGCTCTTTACAAAAATGGGACAAAGAGAAGAAAAGCAGGAGAAAGAGTGGGACATTTGCTTGTACACAGACCGAAACCTTTAGGGGGACAATCCCAAAAGAGGAGTGGAGCAAAAAAAAAAAAAGTACAGGGGTGAAGAACGATGGACAGACAAGATGTTGGTGAGACGCTCAAGATGACATATATAAGGATAACAAAAATAAGCAGGAGAACAGAGGAAAAAAAAAATAGATGGGCAAATGGGGAACGTTCATCAGGCATTAAAACATCACATAAAATGCTCTGGTGAAGCAGCGAGAGCTCACACACAGACACAAACTGTGCTCTTATGTATTTTCCACTGTTTATGCAGATGTGCTGGGGCTCAGGAGGCTGACAGAGCATGTTCTCTCACACACACACACACACACACACACACACACACACACACACACACACACACACACACACACAGACACACAGATACGCTCTTCACTCTTTCACACTATCAACATATCCATATATGAGACAACATAGCCTGGGACGTGTTTGGACTGTGACACCATGTGGAGTGTTGGAGGTGCAAGAAGTGTAGACTTAAGCTTTGCATTTGAGGGGCAGAGCAAAAAATATTTTTTCTTTTCCAGTTTAACACAGTCAGAAATTAAATGTTAATGGATGTTACTAAAGAACTGGGTTTCCAGTTGTTAGTTTGTGTCTTCAGCACGTGAAGTTCATGCTAGGTTGAGGTATTTGCAGAATTTTCAAGTTCTTTACCTTCAAAACCTTCTGAGTGGCCTTTTCAGTTTGTTCTTCAGTCCCCTAAAGCAGACAAACACCATTACCACCGTTAAAAATGGTCCACATTCTTTCACTTCTGAAAAATTTGTAAGTAGCACGTTGAAATCTACAGATGATCTGACTGAGGTTTTTTAAAAACAAACAAAAGCAGCACTGCAACAACTTTAGACATAAACAAAAGTGGAAACCTTAAACTATGGTTATTGATGTTGGTCTAGTCCACAATGCACCGCTTGAGGTTAGTCCTTAATGTTGCTGTGTGATTTGAATTGAATTATTTGCTTCCAAACATTCCTGGTCCTGAGCTGACGGCCAGTCTTCCTGGAAGCAGTCTGATGTTTTGATTTCTGGGACATGGCGGGACACGGCGGACTGTCTTTCATAAACCCTTCATATAAACAGTTTTTATGAAAGACATAAATAGTGCTAATAAAAAGTTGATATGTTATTTAACCAGCGGATGTGCTGTATTCACCTAGGCTGCTCCTGTGTTGTGTCAGCAGTAAACACCCCTGATTCAGTGGCACTGGACAGGAGTGATGTTCATGGCTTAGATACAAGTACCCTCGAGTCTACACCAAGGTTACTGTTGTTAAATTAAACTAAACTAAAACAGTGTAGTTGAATAAAATAAAAACTACTAATAGACCTTTGAAAAAACTTTGGGAACTTGGGTAAAATAAAATAAATATACATAGTTTTGGTATTTGTATATTTTGGTTAAATTTGTTATCACAAACTGTCTGATGAGATGTCTACAAGATAGAGAGCCAAGTGCTGTCAAATGTTCTTGTTATATTGTTATACGTGTCCTGATTTTCCTTAAGCTTTCCTGACATTATTCCAAAAATGCTGTAATAATTTTTTTTTTTTTTAAAAAGCTCGGAAAGCTACCTGAAACTCAACTGAATTTAAAAACCAAAAGTGAAAAAGGAAAAAAAAATTGGGCCATATTCATTTCATAAATGTAACATAAATATGTAAATAAGTTTAACAACTCATGTGGTCCCTGATATATCTTAATATGAGAAAAGAAGCTGAGCCCAACAAAACAAAACAGAAAAAGCTGATTTCTTTAATAGACTGTGAAAATTTTTTTTTTTTATGTCATGTCATTGTTTATGGGTTAATTACTTTGGTAATAAAATCTATGTGCAGGGGTCTAAAATTAGGAAAAGCTGCAAAATTAATGAAAACACAGTTAAAAATCCAAAATCTCTGTTCTTCACATTTTTTCAAAGCTGTCCAGTGGACTGGATTGGAGTCCTTACGGCCTACTTCAGTCTTCACTTCAGTCCTCACGTCAGGCCCTGGGCCTTATGTTTGACACCCCTCATTTAGTGAATATACATCACCTTTAAAAGGGGGCACAGCTCAACCTTGTGCATGTAGCACATGTGCACTTCTGTGGTGGTTGGGTTAAATGAATAGCAGATACATTTTGGGTGTGTGTGTCTCAGTGAATGAAGCAGTAATGAAGGCCCACGGTGGGAAAAGAGGATGCTCGCTCATTTAAATTCGGCTGCTCGCGCAGACACTGAACCTGCAGCTGATTCATATTTGTAAAAACAAGATTTTCTGTTTGTGTCCTCATGAAAATTAATGTGATGCTTTTGACCTTCTTTACCCTGAACACGCTGCAAGGGGCCATCTCCGCTCTGGCTGTCTGTTTTGTATTTGCATGGAGAGATTTGCATATGATTAAATTATTGAATGTATTGCTGTGTTGTGTTGTGACCCTGATGTGAAAGTGAGAGCCACAGAAAGTTGCTGCATGTTTCTCAGATGCTGAGATGATGCCGTATTGATCGATTCCTGTTAGTGAAATCAGATTCTTCCAGCAACAAAAAGGGTGTACGGTTGAAGCAGAACATGAGCACACAAGCAGAATATTAAATAAGCTGGAGGAAGACGAGCTGAGCCTTAGAAGAACTTATGCTGCAGGCTGCGTCGGCGGCCATTGTGAATAAAGGCTCGAGTTCTCGACCCCAAAAGTCACATCCAATATTTTCAGTTTGTCCTGTAAGTTTTACTTTCTGTGACTCGTTCCTCATTTCTGTTCTTCAAACACTTTCATTATTGTATTTGTTGGAATTTATGTCGAAACTACACCACATGCAGTTTTTAGATTTTGTTTCTCTTGAAAGACGTCGTCCTGATGATGTCCAGCTAGTGTCCATAAACCACGAATTCTCTGACTCCTCTGTTTGTGCAAACAAACTTGTTATCACAATAGATTAAATGGACTATATAAGTCTAACCAGACTAAACAAGTCAAGCGTATTAAACAGAGAATAAAGCATAAACAGTCTAAAACAGCAGTGCAGTTTATTTATGTATTTATAGAGGACCAAAACTGCCAAAATAAAAATAAATAAATAAATAAATGCCACAACAGATGTTGCTGTTAAATGCTTGAAAAGAATATAGATAAATATAGCAGTTAGTTGATGTTTTCTCTAATTTGCTTCTTAGAATTAACTTTATGTTAAAGGATCAACATGCTGTGTGATGATTGTGATCGACTGTGATCTGAGGGGTATACCACGATTCAAAAAGGTCAACAACAGCAAGCTTTCTTTGCTCTACCCTAGTACAAGATGACCAGTATCACAACGGTGGTTGTCAGCTTCCTCTGTTAAGCCGAACTCTCTAGGCCTGGTGTATGTTTACATAAAAAGGGGTATTTCACTCTTCTTTTACACAAAGAATCCCTGTGAGCGCCCCCTACCCTGATCGGACACGTTAGCATGTAACGATAAAAGGTGAAAAAATGTATAACGAACATAAAAAATATAAATACAAAAAATAAAAAAGTGAAATGCAAATTTGATTGTAAATAGGACAACATTAATACCCCAGAAAATCATTAATCATTAGATTTGGTGCACAGATCGGTAACACAAACATTTTAACTTTAATTAATTACTGGCTGCACGTCAGATCTGTGAAACTTTAAACTGGATACTTTGAAACATTGAAGCTGACTGTCTCACAGCCTGGTAAACAAGATGTGGAGATAACTGTAGTCAGGAGATCAAAGTGAAATTAACTTGATTGATTGCTCTGGACCAAGTTATGTGTTCAGCATAAGTTACTATGGCGATCAAAGCTGAAGACTTAAAGCTCAACATACCTACAAATCTGCTAATCCGACTTCATGGCACAGCCCTCAGATGATGGGGACATAGGTGTATGTTGTTCTGGGTTTTGGAACTCCAACTGATCATTGATGCCTTAAGGACAAAAGTCATTTTTAAAAGATATAAATTTGCTGTAAATTCTGGTTGGTAAACATCCCTCACCTCTCCTCTTCTCTCCGCTCTTGTCCTTTGTAGAGAGGTGAAGCGTTTCCTTGGCGCCGCCGTGGATCTGTGCAGGTGGAGGGTCACATCACATGGGAGTGTGCGACTGCACGCGTGACGGTGTGTGTTTAGGCCTCCTGCCGTCACTCGCTCCTCCCAGACAGGCATGGCGGGGGGCAGGGAGCGCAGCGGCTCGAGGACGCAGAGGCCGTGGTCGGTGTACCGAGCCAACACGCTGGAGCTGTCCAACGAGATGATCAGCTTGGCGCTCGCAGGTCAGAATAACGTGGAAACTGAGCTAGAGTCAGAAACTTTTTAGTGTTTTGTGCATTTGAGCAAAATAGAGTGTCAAATATAGTTTGGTCACATTTAAGGAGGTTAGGTTTAGAAAAAGGTCAAATAAGTCCAACTCACACTAATAAAGCATCCCTGAGATATTCACACATTATCAAAATGGTCAGATTTTGTATTTCAAAATAAAAGCCATTGAAATGTCCTGTATGAGTTTTTTACCTTTAATTTACAAACAGATTACAGGGAAACGTCCTGTTTTCACAGACGTATTTCCCTTTACCTTGATAGTATAACACGTCAGACTGTCACTCATTTAATATCAAGGCAGTCTGATTTGATCTGATCAAAATAAAAACCTTTCCTACAAAGGTAAACATGGCTTATAGCCATGAAAGGGATTACAGGAAAACATCCTTTTTACAGACATGCTATTAATCTAAAGGGAAGTATAATACCTCAAGCTGTCATTCCACGTCAAGTCATTCTGTGTATTTCAAAATAAAAGCCTTTTGAAAGTCTGAGCTGTGTTTACCTTTAATTTAAAAAGACATTACAAGGGTGCTAGTTTCATTTTCATCTAAACATAATCAAAATTGACGTAAAGTAGCTTCAATGTTGCAGCTGGAGATGATTTTAATAAATGAACTGCTGGTCGACTTTGTTTTTTAGTACTGCAGCATAATTTATCATGTACAAAAGCTTCAAATGCTGTTTCTCTGACTTAATGTTATGATGACGTTTGTGTTACTTTGCAGGAAATAGTCAGGACCCAGATGAACCTGTGCTGGAATTCAGTGTGGGTGAGTAATATGAGCATTTATGATGGCTGTCCGTGACATTTATAACCCGTATTTAAATTTAGTGGTCGTTAGTGCCTCAGTTCATGATCTACTCACTGCAAGTGACAGTGACTACCATAAGAGCAGAGTCTGCTCTTATGGTAGCAAAATATATTCAGAAAATCTCCATAAAACAGCAGCTCAGCAGCAGAAATATATCAGACAGTGAGAATATATGAGTATATGGTCAGCTGGTTGTGAGTTAATGAGTATGTGTAATCAATCCAAACATTTTGAAACAAACTCTCCAACCTCGCAGCTGCAAGACTGCCTGTGCAACCACAATTGCCTTCAGAGAGTCTTCCTGCTTGCCTCTTGGCTTGATTTGCTTGTGTTTTCTCACCCAGCATGCACAGACCTGGTGACTCCTTCTCTGGACCGAAAACCCAACACCTTTGTAGCAGTGAGCTGCACGACGCCGCCGCAGGTCTTCTGGACCAAACACGCCCAGACTGAAGTCATAGAGGTCAGACTCGTCACACAGATACAGAAACAGACTTAAAGTTACGGTTGGACTAATGTTTAAGCAGCTCTAGCTTCCATAACGTTGATTTCAGCTTGTAGGTGTGACTTAACGACGGCATAGTGACCTGTTTGCCACCACCCACACCTTCCTTATCTACGTCATTCAGTCTGGATGTGGAGGACGAGGGAGAAATGAATAATAAAACTGCAAAAACACACTTTTAGAAAAGTTTTGTTGCCAAACACGAATGTGACCTCTGAAAGAGCAATTTCAGAGGTCACATCACTTTGTATTGAATGCATTTATTTGCACGCCCCCTCAAGTGCAGAGTGAGTCATCAAAAATAAGGATTTTGTTGGGTAAACACTCATAAATATGTATTTTTATGCATATTTGGCAAAGTTAAAATGATACAGTGTGAAACCAGTGTATTTTTAGGCGTATCTGTATGTGTTACAATGACTTTCTTCTTCCAAAATGCCTGTTTTGCACATGGTTTGAACTTTTAACTTAAATTTCAACGCAAATTGAAGCTGCTATTGTGTTACTTTTCCTTGAAAATGTGATTATGATAATAACAATAAAACAAAACATGAACTGCTGAACTATTTTGTGTAACCTGTGTCTCTCCACAGGGTACCAGTAACCCCAGCTTCCTCAGCAGCATTGCCTTCTTCCAGGACTCCAACATCAACCAGCTGACGCAGGTCAAACTGGCTGCGTATGATGTGAAGGATCGCTCGCAGGGCACGGTACGACCAGCAGCACTGATAATTTTATTTTAATAATTTGAGCAAAGAAGCAGCTCAGCGTGTGAACTGTCTGTCTGTCCAGATGTACATGTTGGGCTCTGCACTTTTCCCTGTGAAGGAGATACTGCAAGAGAAGAGCCACAAATTACAGCTCGAACTGCGGTAACACACACTTAAACACACAACACTTCTGCTTTTTTACTGCTGTATTCAAGATTCTTTAAATTCACCCCAGTTCTTTAAGCAAAACTCACTCCAACTTATTGCTGTTTTATTGCCGTCTTGATGCACCACTTTCACTTTGAAGACATAAACTGACTGCGAGTGAAAGATTTCTTGAAGCCATTTCTAAGCAACTGCATATTCCAATATCATAATTACACCCCCACTAATATTTGGTTCAAGGTCTCTTACCATGTTGCACCTCAACCAGACACTTTTCACAGCCACCAGTGAGCTTCTGGTATAATCCTGGCTTATATTTGACTGCTATTCTTGGCAGAATTGGGAGAGTTAAAGTGTTTGGTTTCTTGGCACAATCTTGGCTTTTAAGCTCAGTCCACAAATCTTTTCAACAGGGTTTAGGTCGGGGTTTTGGGAAGGCCATTCCAGAAGTTCAATGTGAACCTGCTTTATCCATTCAAAACTAGTTTTAATGTGTGTTTGGGATCATTATCCTATTGGAACACCCAATTATGTCAAAGTTTCAATGGTCTAGCTGTTGATTTGAGGTCAAGTTAAAGATTTTGGAGGTAGTCCTCCTCCTTCATTATTCCATCCACCTTTTGCATCACCTGTACCACTGACAGCAAAACAGCCCCAGAGCATGATGCTAGCACCACCCTGCTTGAGAGCTGGTACAGGTTTGAAAACATACCTCTTGTCATTGTGGACAAATAGCTCAATCTTTGTTTGGTTTGACCATAAAACCTTTTTTCTAGAAGGCATCTAGCTTGTTGATGTGGGCAGCTGCAAATTGTAGTCAAGTTTGAAAGTGTAGATCTTCAAGAAGGGGCTTTTCTCTTGGTCAGCACCCTTTCAGTCCATGATGATGTAAAACAGGTGTCACTGTGGACAGAGATTTTGGTCTTCCAGCAGTTTCCAGTTCATGACAGGCTCGAGTCTTGATGGTTCCTGATTTGTTCCTGGGCATCCCTACCAATTTCCTCTTATTTGAGGGTAACAGTTTGGATCTTCTTCCAGACCTCAGCAAATCTGAATAACTTGTACTTAAGTACAGTTGTTTGAACCGATGACCTTGGAATCTGCAGTTGTTTAGAAAAGACTCCAAAAGACTTTCCCAACTTGTTTAAATATACAGTTCTCCTTCTTGGATCTTCACTGAGTTCCTTAGACTTTCCCTTAGTTTTGAGTATTGGTCAGTCCAATGAGTTCTATCAAACAATCCTTTTTATGCTGCAAAGAAAAGCTACCAGTTGGACACAATCATGATCACTAACAAGAAGTTAACAAACATGTGCACCCAGTGTTTTAAAGTTGTTAAAGATGCATGCTGCACAATCATTCCACCCTGGACAAGAACAGTTAAAAGAAATCATTAAAAAGACAAGATTATCAATCAATCAAGCAATTTATTTATAAGCAGATTTAAAAACAACACAGGCTGACCAAAGTGCTGTACATAATAAAAAGTAAAAGTAGATCAAACACACACAAAGAACAAAACAAAACTCAGTCACAATTAAAAGTTAGAGTGTAAAAATGTGTTTTGATTGATTGATCGATAATATTTTATTCATCCCGATGGAAATTGGGTTAAGGCTGCCAGCCTTGCCAGCGCCATACACCATTTTCAAACAGGTTTTAAAAATGTCTAGTGTTGGAGAGATCCTAATTTCAACAGGCAGACTGATCCAAGGTTTGGGCGCAGCAATCACAAAGGCCCGGTCTTCTCTGTTTTTTAGACTGCTTCTAGGGACAAACTAGAAGCAACTAGCAGCTGACCTAAGAGTTCTATTTGGAGTATTTTTAGTTAACAGATCAGAGAGGTATGCCAGAGCTAATCCATTTAGAGATTTAAAAACAAGCAATAAAATCTTAAAATCAATTCTACAACATACTGGAAGCCAGTGTAAATGAACCAAGGCTGGGGAAAATGGTCATGTTTACGAGTGCCTGTCAAGAGTCAGGCTGCAGCATTCTGAACTAGCTGAAGATGAGAGAGCAGAGCCTGGCTGATACCAAAATAAAGACTATTACAGTAGTCAAGCCTGGATGAAATAAATGCATGTCTCACTTTCTCAAAGTCAGCAAATGACAAAATGTTCTTAGTTTTTGCAAGGGCTCTGAGCTAGAAGAAGTTGGCTTTTACAACAGAATTTATTTGTTTCTCAAATGAAAAGCTGCTATCAAAGAACACTCCCAGATTCTTTGCAAAGGGATTTCTGGATTTTTCCAGAGGACCATGGTCAACCTTAAGAGAAAAGCGAGGGTCAGAAGGTCCAAATAGAGCAATCTCAATTTTTTGGTCATTTATATTCAAAAGATTTAATGCAAACCATGATTTAATGTCATCAAGGCAGTCTAGCCAAAGAAAGATTACCATGACATTCATGCCCATGATGATTGTGTGTAAACTGCTGACCACAACGGTAAGCAAGAAATAAAAGATGCTTGAATTTTAACTGTACAGAAGAAACATTTCATTTTTATGAAATGTTTCTTCTTACTTTGAAAAGTAAGAAGTGTTGTCATTTATGTATTTACAACATATAAAAGCCTGCTTGTCATTTACTTCAATTTTTTTCTCCATCTTGACACAAAGCCTAATGTGGTTAGTCAAATGAAATGATGTGTGACGTCCTTCCTTTACTTTAAGTGTGTTTCCTGCTAAATTTGCAAGACAAAACTTGAAATGGAAAAAGCATATAGTGACAGATTTGTGGTTCTAGTTTTTAGTGTGCCACTGAAGATCTGCTGAGGATGTTGGATAGCAGAAGGACATGTAACTCAATATAATCGAAATGGCAGTGGTGGGTGGCACTCTGGAAATGAATCATCCGGCTGAGAAGAAGGATATTTAAAAAAAAAAACACAGAACAAACGTGGGCTGAGGAGGGAGACTTGAGGAACACCGCATTTAAAATGAATAGGAAACAGGAAGCAAGTATTAGCTAAGGCTGCTAAAGATGTTCTTTCAGAGAAGAAAGAGCCACTGACTGTAGAAGATCTTTATACAGCCATTGGTAAGAACATAGAAGATTAAAAGCGGATCTCTTAATTTTAACCTAGTTTGC